TAAAACAAACAAACGTATAAAAGTCTGTCAACTCAGATTCATCGATCAAGTCACCCACAAACCCGATTAAATGGTTTTAAGGACGTACCTGCTGGTTTTAGCTTTCTAAACACGACGGTCTGATTTATTTTTCAGAGTTTTGAACTGATAAACAGACAAAATATGGAAAGTGGAACGACTTCAACCACAAGGCGGCACAGATACTCAGTTACTGGAGGAAACAATCAGCAGGACGATAACCGGCGGTCAGTAAGAACGCAGTGGTGATATCTGACATGTTCATGTCACTGTGCTGGGTCTGAAAGGCTCGCTACCTTCAACATAAATATAAATAGAATTTAAAAAATCATCTATGTGACGGCGTTAGCAGCCGGAAACTAGAAAAACTGGAAAACGGCAGATTTTCAACTCTGTGACGAGTCACGTGAAACTAAATCCAAACTTAAACTCTTCACAGTCACTTCATTCTTCTGACCCTGTAGAACCAGAACCTCCCTCCTCCTGGTTCTGACCCTGTAGAACCAGAACCTTCCTCCTCCTGGTTCTGACCCTGTAGAACCAGAACCTTCCTCCTCCTGGTTCTGACCCTGTAGAACCACAACCTCCCTCCTGGTTCTGACCCTCCACCACTGACTCATTCAGAGAGTTTCAGGTGAACTGCAGCCAGTGTTTCCTCAGAGAGACTGAGAGAAAAACAAAACCTTCTGGATCAATGAATAAATGCAGCAAATGGCAAAGACAAGACAAAATGACCACAAAGAGACCCAGAGAGACAGATTATCACAAAACAACCAAATGAGAAACGACGAAAAGGACAAAGACGAGTCAAAATGATCACAAAGAGACACCGGACGGCTAAAACCACACATGAGCCCACGCAGAACAAACAAACAGAAAAAGAGCCACGAAATAACCAAAACGAGACACAGACTGACAGAAAGAAAATAAAAAATGACAAAGACGAGACAGAACTGTCCCAAAGAGACACAAGACAACGGACAGGAGAGCAAAGCGTCTCTGGGAGTTTATGTACGTGGAGACAAAACGACAAGAAACGAAGGAAAACAGACTCGACACAGAACAGAACGGAGACAGAACTGTTCTGATGAGACACAAAATGAGACAGAAATCATCCACAACGGGACTAAACTGTCCCGAACGCTGAGCTAAATGCTTTGAAATGTGAATAGTTGGACATCGACAGCAGCCTCCACGTCCCCACTGATGGAAACACCTGTGGACACCTGGACAGATGCTGGACATGTTGTTGTTTTGTTTGTTTTAATCTGCAAAATAAATAATCAAAGAAATTCCCAGAAGACATCTGTGTCCCTCTGGGCCCCTTGCTGTGTTTCCACAGAGCTGCAGGACTTTACATGGGAGTGAAACATGAAGCAGCTGTTCAGAGGTTAAAGAAAAAACACTGATGATCATAAAAACTCACTGGTTCGTCATTTCTAAAGCTTCCCTTTAGGACCCCCACCTGTCCAGACGTCACTTTATTTCAACATTCAGTCAGCTTCACCTGTCAGGTGAGCGCAGCGTCAGGTCAGTTGCCATGGTTACCTGCAGTTTAATGACAGGAGGCCAAACTTTGACCTGAGCTGATTTTAGCTCATGATTTAAAAAGGTGCTTTTATCACCTTAAACCGGAGTTAATCCTGAGTTCATTCATAAATACGGAGTTTAATTCGATAATTCATCATCACTACCGGGTTCTTGTGACTTTATGCTCCGGGTTTGGACCCGTGCGTCCCTGGAAGCTAGCACAGCTCACCTGTGTAGCCTCATTAGCATCCTGCTAACGGAGCCTGAGCTAGCATTAGCCTCCTACCTGCTCCACGGTAGCCGGGTCCATGGACTGCAGCCGGGCGGCGTTCTCGTACTCGTCCTCGCTGTTGTTCCCCGCTCCTTCCTCCGTGTCCTGGCTGGACCCAACGCCTCCCGGTCCGGTCACCCCGGGCTGGCCTCCGCCGGCCAGAGCCGCCACCACCCCGCCGGAGCAGGTGCCTGCCTGCCGCCGCCTCTTGCTCAGCCCGGGACCGGAGCAGCAGCTGCCGATGCCTCCGCCGCATCCGACGACGCCGGCCGACACGACGAGCTCCCCGCGGGACCCGGCCACCATGCCGCCGCTGCTGTCCCGGCCGTCGCCCGGCCCTACCGGGGACACGGAGCCGACGGGCGGCGGAGAGGCCTGCTGCGGCCGGGAGCTCGCCTCGATGCTCCGCCTGTCGTCCCTGGCGGAGGGCGGAGCGGGCTGGTAGGACCACGGCGGAGGTGAAGCCCTCGGTCGGGCTCCGGTCCGCCCTGCGTGCGGGTGAGGGTGCGGGTGCTGGTGCGGGTCGGAGCCGCTCCGACGGTCGCTGTCATCGGCGTGGTCCGAGACTCCGACCCCGGAGCTGGGCTTCTTCTTCGGGAGAATCGTCATGGTGGAGTGTGTGCGGGAGGCAGGGAGGGGGTCAGAGGGTGACGAGTCCTCCGCTTCTGGATCGAATGTTTCGGTGTGTTCGCCCTCCGGCCCGGCCGTGCGGCTCTAATCACCGAGCTAAGGCTCCTAACGAACCGAAACGGACCGCAGCGACACCGACTCGGCTCCTTTTCGACGGTTTGGTTGAACACAAACAAAAAGCGTCTCGGTCTTCAGTTCGGTTCTTCAGCTACAAACATCAACACAGCCTGACGGGGCGACGTCACTTCCTGGTGGCGACGGCGCGTCTTACGTCAGGACGTAAACCGGAACTTCGCTTTTATTGTCAAAAATGTAAATAACACGAGTGGTCATAAATCTATATACCTGTCATTTCATATCTTCATATACTTTGACTGGACCTCTGTTATTATTATTATTATTATTATTATTATTATTATTATTATTATTATATCAAAATAGTATAAAGTTAAGTTTATAGAGTTTAAAAGAATACGGTAATCTTTAAAATTAATACATTTATTTTTTAAAAGCACCGTTGTTCTCTGTAACTATATAAACTTTATATTAATTATGATGATAAAATCCCTAACGTTATCTTTATGAATATATTAAGAATACACATGTCAGTGCGTACATGTACGTAGGGACTGTAATGTGTCATCAATGAAAGATGCTGCCTTACGAAAATGATTTTTTTCCCTATTTACGATTTAAATATTATATTTTATATTTAAATAATGAACCCAAGCCTGTTTGTTTATAAAAATATTTATAACATTTCTTATCAGTATCTAATTAGTAAAACAATGACTCCACTAAAAACAAAACAAATATTTTATTTCTGTGTATCTGTCTCTTTATCATATATATAGATATACAAAGATATAGATGTACATAAATATAGTATTAATACATTAAAGGTCCTATTTTAAAGAAGCTAGCATCTTTTATTCACCATAGACACGTCATTCCATATATATGTGTATGTACATCGAATAAAAATTGATTTATTTATTCATCAGTTAAATGAAGAAGATTAGGAATATTTGTACCATCCTGTCATGAAATCAAACACTAGATGTTAAAAACAAAACAAACAAAAAAACCCGTTAAAATGATTACATCAGTTGCTCTGTGTTTGTCGGCACCAGAGCAGAGCAATGAAGTTTTCCCAGCAGCGTCCATCAACAGCTGCTGTTACATCAGGTCAGCTCACTGTTGCCTAGCAACGGGAGGAGAGGATGCTGTGATGGAGAACAAAGAGCCGCCGTGGTCGGCTGCACAACCTGAAGGACGAGAAGCTTCAGTTTGGATCGTTTCTGATGCTCAGTAACACGTGAATCCGCAGCAGGGCGGCGTTTCCTGTCTGCAGCCGTCATGGCGCCACCGTGTGGACAAACGGAGGCCCCGCAGTCAGAGCAGTCAGAGGAGAAACCTGTTCTGTCCAGAAACACAGAACCAGCCGACACCAGCAGAGAGCAGGCTCGGAGGCAACAACGTCAGCTGGTTTCACTTCCAGAGAACTGATACACGGCATGATTAGAACCAGAAGACAAGTTTTAAAAGAGTCTGGTCGCCCTGTTTTAGTGTCTCAATAATAATAATGTGTCAGTTGATCTAATTCTAATTTACACGTGTATAAATGTAATAAAGCTCTTTTAGTTCTGTCTTCTCTCCTCCTGCAGAAGTTTTACAGCTTTTCTCCTTCATTTACACACAGATCCTGGTACTGGAGACACAACGACCACACACATTGGTTGTTTTGTGTGTTTTTGTGTTGTTTTTGTGTATATTTTGGTTGTTTTATGTGATGTTGTGTTGGTTTTACAGCTTTTCTCCTTCATTTACACACAGGTCCTGGTACTGGAGACACCGTGACCACAGCATGTTGCTCCTGCACCAACCCCCTGAACTACAAACACAATCCCTGCTTTACACTCAGATTGCACTTTTTCAAAACATGATACACAATTCTCTGCATTTGGCACATTTTCCATGAAGAAAATCTTTTGTCTTCTCAGAGAACACTCTTGTCATCCAAAACTCTCTGATGCACACCGACTCCTCACATGGACAAACACCTGCCTCATGGTTTCACAGTCAGCACTCAGAGCTTTACCATCAGCGGGCAACACGAGCTCTTCTGTTCTGGAGCAGAACGCCAACAAGAAAGAGTCGAAGAACTGTGATATAAATATGTGTGAGTACGTCCTATGCAATTCCACAGTTGATGCATTCGCTCAGCACTGTATAAATTAAACATGTTTCAGTGCTGTAATCATTATTGTTCTTATTAGTGAGTGTATCCAGTAAATGAATGTGTTGTTTTGAATGTGGACCACTGGAGGAGGACCTTTGTGTTGGTTGGGATCTGCACTGAGCACGTTGACAAGCGTTGGTCGTATTTCCAGGTGTGGATTAAAGCGACGGGTTCATCTGAAAGCACAAAGAGACACAAAACACTTCATGTTTCTGATTTCATCTCAATTTGACTTTAATTTTTTTGACACTTTCACACGTTTGACTACTAAAAAAGTCCAAACAAGGCTTTTTGCACACGACACCGTTTTACGTTCAGGAGCTCCATCCAATAATAATTCAGTACTAAACTCATGCATTTCTGATTGGTCCCGAATCCTCGACCTCACTGCAGGAAAAACCCACAACAGAAGGTACAAAATCTACCAAATTTAAGGAAATATCGACAGTTTAACATGTAATAATGTGAAAAATAACGTTTCCAAAAGCATTCTGGGAACACGTGGACGATTAAAAGTCAAGAGATGGAAACAACAGCTCTTTAAGACAAAACAACTCCTGGAAAGATGAGAGCTGACAGGAAACAGTCGGATTTAAACGTGAAACATTTCCGTCTTCCATCGTGTTAATAATACTTTGACTGATTTCCCTGCAGCAGCGTCACAGCGATACATTTCTGTACATAGTTTTTTTTTTTGAAGGTAATGTGGGGTTTCAGCCACACGAGGCAGCAGCTGTCATACTGCACATCTGATTTTAGTCTCGAGGCTGTTTTACCACCAAATCCCTTCAGTGGACAATCATCTACGAGCTTTAAACATGGAAGGAGGTCCGATGCACCACCTTCACTTCTGATGCAGCGCTGACCTTCGTCTCCAGATAGCTTCATCACTGCTTCTTCTGCAGTGGACAATGATCTGGAAACATGGACAGCCGTCTACAGCACCACCTATCATGACGTCCTTCTCCAGGAGGTTCCAACACCATTAACATCCACCGTTCCTGCAGCGTCCCGCCTGTGATTGATCTCAGAGGTTCTGTTTTGTTTTTAACCCTTCAGGTTCTCCTGCTTGTCCTCTGCACTCTTATGGACAAGACTTGGAATAAGAACAAGTGTGTTTTTAACCAACAAGGACTTCACCTCAGTTTCTGTGAAAGTTCTGTCTGAACACTCAAGAGGCAGTTTGCAATGTACCATCCAACAGTCGCAAAACAGCAACAAGTGGTGCTGCTGGACCTTGGTCCAGTTCTGTGCAGGAACTAGAACAACAGAGGAGAAGATAAGGACAAAAATGGTAGCAGCAACCCGTCTGAAGACCCACACAGCAGCTTTGCAGATGAAAGATTTTCAACACGTCTTATGGCCAGAACCCACACAGATGCCAGGTCCGCCCGAAAACAGCTCACGGGTTCCTCAAGTGGGAGCAAACCTGGAATCTCCAAACAGTGGAGGGCGTCCACGGCTCCACTTATCAGGTACTTATGATTCAGTCTGGATATTTGAAGAAGAACATCAAGAAAACACTTCATTCACCCACAAAAACGGCCCTGAAAGAGGTTCTGCAGGGACAGTTGTTGTTGTAGGAACATGTACAGATGGAAGGGGGTCTACAGCACCACCGATCAGGTTCTTATGATGCCGTCCCCCAGTCACACCTTGTTCCTGCAGGGGAACACATCTCATTGTCAACCAAAACCCCTGAAAAAGACCCTGAAAGAGGTTCTACAGGGACAGTTCTTGCAGTTGGAACATGGTCACATCTTGTTCCTGCAGTGGAGAACAGTCTATGGAGAACCTCAGGTCCAGGTCTTGACCTCCACCTGCCAGTCTGTTGTGGAACATTTCCATTGGATCTAAAGGAGGAAACCAGAACTACTCCCTCCTCACAGGTGTCTTTACTGAGTTTACCTCTAAACCCTAAAACCTGCCGGCAGGTTTAAAAAATCACCAAGATGACACCATTTATAGTCAGGACCCTAAAACAAGGAAGAATGGCCTGATTTTCAATATCCCCGACCTACTGGGTCAATGAATANAAAATCACCAAGATGACACCATTTATAGTCAGGACCCTAAAACAAGGAAGAATGGCCTGATTTTCAATATCCCCGACCTACTGGGTCAATGAATAATGCAGCACGGATCAGAACCAGAGGACAGAGGAGCCAGTTGGTGGAGATACATTCAACTGATGGTGGAACATCTTTCTACATCTGATGGTGGAACATCTTTCTACATCTGATGGTGGAACATCTTTCTACAGCTGATGGTGGAACCTCTTTCTATCTGATGGTGGAACATCTTTCTACAGCTGATGGTGGAACATCTTTTAACGACAAAACTGAGACACAAAGCAAGACAAAATCAGACGAGTTCTCTCTCCTCCACCTTCATGTTGTTCTGGTTCCTCAGAGCTGCAGGACTTGATGCTGAAACATGAACCTTGGTGGAGGACCATGAGACGGGAGATGAAACCATCTGGTTAAAGGAGAGCGGCTGCTTCCTGTCCTGTCAGGATTTAACTTCTAACATCTACAGTTTGTGGTTTTTGTCGTTTATTTCCGGCTTTTCAGGTCCGTTTCATCGTCTCTACGTGTCCGTATCGTTCCACTCGTGGCTTCAGCATCACACGGTGGTGACGGACAGCAGCGGGTTGTAGATCTTCTTCCCGTCCGGAGACCTGGACCCGTGGGCCAGCAGCTCCTGGATGGTGATCCAGTTGTCCAGGATGCGGCGGCTCCTCTTCTTCATCACCTTCTTGTGGCTCAGCAGCAGGATGTTGCTGGAGCTCTGTCGGGGCTGGAGCTGCTCGGTGGCTCCTGACGAGGACGGATCCCTGGATGAGAGAGAGGAGGAACGAAGAGGTGACTTCTAATCTGGAGCTTCGTCTACGACAATTTGAAAGCTGAAGGAGATGATGAATTAGCCTGATGCTAACTACAGATCATTCTACTGTTTCTTTGTACTGTTGTAGGATTTTAAACTAAACTCTAGAAGCATCTTGTGAGCTGTAATATTTAAATGAGTCTGCTCATTATTATATTATATATAATATTGTATCAGTTTAGCCTTAGTTTCTAACTGCTAAATGTGTACTGTGTGTATTGTTATAGGCTCTAAGATTGAATGTTTTTTCTGTTTAATTTTGTAGGAAATTTAACTAAATTATAAAATGTTTCTGGTATTTTGTTTATAATCTGCCTCTTCTGAACTGTAATTTTAAATCAATAATTCATACTTTATTTATTATCGTGGGGTTTTATATGCAGCAGTGAGAGCGCCACGCTACAAAAATAAATCAATAAAAGAAGAATAAAACAAAAGTGGAAATAAAAAAGGAATAAATAAAATAAAAAATAAATAATGTGGCGACATAAAGTAATATTAATCAGAAATGAATCCATAAAAGAAAAGCGAATAAAAGTAGAAATATAAAGACAAATAAAAAAATAGTAGAAATAATAATAATTTATTTTTTACATTAAAAAAAATGTTTAATTGTTTATTTTTTTTAAATTTATTTTTATTTCTGTTTTTATAATGTTGCTTTAAAAGCAAAAGAAAAGTTCAGGTGTGTCCAGGTGTGTCCAGGTGTGTCCAGGTGTGTTCAGGTGTGTCCAGGTGTGTCCAGGTGTGTCCAGGTGTGTCCAGGTGTGCTCTGGATGTTCTGCGGGCCTACCTGTCTCCTCGGAGGTAGTCCAGGCGGCTCTGCATCATGAACTCTCTCCTGCGGCGGTTCTCTCGGGCCCTGAGCAGCTGCTGCTTCCTCTCCTCTTTGCTCCAGTACCGGCCCTGTTGGGACCAGAAGCTGGAATCAGCGATGAAACGGTAAAACCCTGAAGACGGGTCAGAACTCAGCTGCTGGGTGTTTGTCTGGAGGCCATGAGTTTGAGTTTCAGGTGTGTTAGTGTTTCTTTAGCTATCAGACCGTGACGACCCGGTTTTTGGTCACTGTGGACTAATCGGTGTCGTTTTGGACTCATGTTGAGACGTTCTGCATCATTTCAGACTCACTGAATCACTTTCAGTCGTCTTGGACTCATTCTGGGTCATTTGTGAACAGATTCGTGTCGTTCTGGGAACAGAGTTCAGAGGAATCAATTGTTGACACGTTTTCTGTCATTTTGAACTCATTTCTATAAATACTTCATTATTTTGGACACTGAATGATTTTAGACATTTTTTTCTGGACTGATTTCGGGTCGTGTTTGATCAGATTTGTGTCGTCGTGGTAACATCAGAGTCACTTTGAACAAACTTTGGGTGATTTGTGACGAGTGTTGTGTCATCTGGGCAACATGACAGTGAATCTGGACTCGTTTGGATTCATTTCTGACACGATTTGAGTCATTTTGAGAAAGTTTTAGTAATTTTAGACTCACTGTGAGTCATTTATACAAATATTCCAGTATGTTGGACACACTGAACAGGTTTTTTTCTGAATAAGTTTTTTTTTTTGGACTAATTTTAGCCCATTTTTTATGAATTTTCTGTCATTTTGAACTAATTTTGAGACATTTTGTGGAACTTCAGTGTTATTTTGGACACAGTGAAAAGTTTTACACTCGTTCTAATTCATCGTGGACGAACTTCAGGTATTTTTTTTTATTGATTTGTGTCATGTTGGGAACATTAAAGTCGTTATTGTAAATGAGAACCTGTTCTCAATGAACCTACCTGGTTAAATAAAGGAAAATAAAATAATAAAGTCATTCTGGACTAAATGTGAGGATTGTGGAGTCACTATGGGTCATTTATGACTAACTTTAGCTCATTTCTGACAAGATTTGTGTCATTTTGAAAACGTTTTGGTGATTTTAGACTAATTTTGAGTCATTTATAAAAACTTTGTGTTACTTTTGGACACATTGAGACACTTTATTTTAAAGTGGACCTGTTTTAATTTGAATCATTTTTAACTAATCTCTGTAGTTTTTGACAGTACTGCTGTCATTCTGGACCAATTTTGAGCTTTTCTTTGGAATAATTTTAAGAATTTTGAGCCATTTTGGACGTTTGTGGGTTTTGTTATGGCAGCAAACGGGGAAACGATGAATAAATATCAGTAGAAAATAAAAGTCTACATAAATACTAGTTCAGATTGTCTCTGGATGTAAATGACAAACAGGTTCTGGTAGAGAAGCATTCACGCTGCACAGGTTTGTCTGTGAGGAGGAGCAGCATGATGAAGATAACGTGACTGAAGTCGTCCATGAAGAGGAACCACACCTGGAGGTTCTGTCCTGGACCATCATTCTAGTTTTATTTCTCACTTCAGCCTCATTTGGACTTCACTCGGTGTTTCTGTGCACTGGTTGGTTCTGAAGCTCCCTGTAACGACGCCACCGCCACATGCACTGATTCAGACGACCACCAGGGGTCTCTGCTGAGCCACGAGTGGAGGACGGACGCCATAACAACATCTGGCTCCGGTTGGGTTTGTGTGTTCTGAACATCTGCAGATGTGACGGATCTGTTCTGATCCGACGGAACCACTCTGGTTCTACGTTCAAAGTGATGACGTTTCATTATCTTCCATCAGACCCTCGACACTGACCTCCAGGCAGCGCTAACATCAGAGAGATCGATCAGAACCACATCCAGGGTACCAGGGACTGGCTCTATGACTCCAACCTGTTCACACTGTCAGACATCCCATAATACTGATGCTACCAGCTGGTGATGGAGGAACTGAACCGAACCAGGTCCAGGGTTCAGACACCTGGATGGATGCAGAACTGCTTCCTGTGTTTAATTTGTGTCATTTTGTGTTTTTGTTGTGAGTCAGATTTATTTGTCGTATTAATTTGTTTGTCGGATTTAGTTTCTATTTTTTTTGCTTCTTGTTTTGTGTTTTTTGTCCCATTTTTCTAAATTCTTTCTCTTTTCTTGTCGTTTCACGTCTCTTTCCAAAAGTTTTGTCTCCTTTCTGTTGCTTTGATTCCATTTGTCTCATTTTGGAT